TGCAAGCCACCACTGTGTTTTAGGTACTACAGAGGAGAATTAAGTAAAAGCAGGTATGATGCGGACCTCATCTTGAAATGTTCTTGGTGTTAGGTTGTGTTCTCTTGGGAGCAGTGAGTCCATATGTAATGTATAATAAAGGCTGAGGTCTTGGGAATCAGAAAAACAAGCAATCCAAAAGTTAAAATTAGAAAATTTAGTGTGTGTGTGTGTGTGTGCGTGTGTGTGTGTGTGTGTGTGTGTCATGAAAGAGCCAAATAACTTAAGTGAAGTTAAAATTACTGCAGTGAAATCTCAGTGAAAACTTTTGGAAATAGAATGTACACAAAGCAACATAAGAATAAAATGTACCTTTTCGAAGTAAGAATTGCACAAGAAAAGATGGAGTCTAAGGTAACATAAGCTTAGCATTGTATTTTCTCTATTCTCATGATTTTCAAAATACATTGCATTTAGCCCCATGCTAAATGACACATACAATGAATTAACACACACAGTATTTGCCATCTTGCTCTTTTCTAGAAAGGTAGGTGTGGTGTCATTGTGCAAAGTGCAATGTGTGTAATCCATGATGGGGTCTTGTCTCTTCTTTCTTTTGGTTTCAGGTTGAGTCTGCCTCTCCAGCTTTCCCACTTATTCTTAAAACAACTCCCAACTTGGGATCAGCAGTTGGTGTAATGGCTATGTTGTGGGCTCCCATGTAGTCAACTGAGGTTCGAGTCCTGGACCCAGTGGCTTAAACTCATGCTGGGCGCGTGTGCGTGTGTGCCCAGGATCCCGAGAGGAGAATGGAGGAGAAGGGATTGCGGTGTGACCATCCCCCCCGGGGGGTGATTTCTCGCTTTCTGTCTCTCTGTCTTTCTGATGAGCACACACACCCTGTAGCAAAAATCTCTCAAAAACAAAACAAAACAAAACAAAAACAAAAAACATCCAAACTTTTCTAATGGATTTATTTTTATTTAAGCAGGTTCTCTTTTTTGTAACCAAAAATTCTAACTAGTGCTTTATGTGATGACATGAAAGGCTATTTGCTTTATCTTTTCATTCATGTTCTGACAAATCATTTTTATATCTACGTGAAAATACTTTCATTTTTTTTTTTCTTCTTCCAACCAAACAACATCAGGAAAATCATAGGAACATAAACTAGGCCAGGTGGTATTTTTCAGCAGGGGCATTATGGTATTTTGGGTACATAAAATTCTTCATTGTACACATTGTAGGAAGTTTAGCAGGCCTGTTTAACATCCATTAAATGCTATCTTTAATTAAAAACTATTGAATAGGATCATACTATCTGTGAAAAGAATGAACTTACATTAAAGATTATTTGAATGATCATTATATAAGTGGAAAATGAATTAACTTTTTGGAGAGTTATTTAAGATATTCATGATCTTATTTTATGAGACTTAGTTGAGTATGTGTATTTTAAATTAACATATAAAAATAATGGAAGGATATGGCAATGGGCATATCTGATGATCCCAAATAGGACAACTGAAATTATACTTTAAGATGGATTATTACTTTTTTTTCTTTTGCTGGTCTTACCATCTATCTACTCTTTCTAAATTAATTAAGACTCAATATCTGTAACAATATACTACCATAGCTAATCTGGGGCCATGGCTTACTGGGGCAAGTAATTAAAATAACTCCTAATTCTCATCTCTTTTTCTCAAGAATTAAGATTTCCCAGAATCTCTGAATCAATACATTTCTTCCTCAATATCATATTACTAGCTTATAAGCCCAAAATTCTAAGGAGATTTATTTGTTTTTTACTTTCTCCATAGAAGATTTTTCTAAAGTCTATAAAAAAGCATGTTCCAAGACAAGTTTAAAAAATAAGTCAGGGGACCAGCAGTTAGCGTAATGGCTACACTGGACTCCCATATAGCTGACCAAGGTTCGAGTCTCAGAGTTGGTGGCTTAAACTCATGACGGGCATGTGTGCGTACGTGCCCAAGATGTTGAGAGGAGAATGGAGGAGAAGGGATTGTGGTGTTGCCATCCCCGTTGGGGGGGTGATTTCTCGCTTTCTGTCTCTCTTGTCTCTTGTCTCTCTGTCTTTCTGGTGGGTGCATGCACCCTATAGCAAAAACCTCTCCAAAGAAAGAAAAAAAGAAAGGAAGGAAGGAAGAAAGAAAAAAAGGAAGAAAGTCAGGACCAGCAGATAGTGTAATGATTACGTCACTGGACTCCCATGTAGTTGACCATGGTTTAAGTCCTGGACCTGGCGGCTTGAAACCATGCTGGGTGCATGTGCGTGTTTGCCCAAAATTCCCAGAAGAGAATGGAGGAGAAGGGATTGTGGCATGACTATCTCCCCTAGAGGAGTGATTTCTTGCTTTTTCCTCTCTCTCTGGTAAGTGCATAAGCCCTATAGCAAAACAAAATAAAACAAACAAAAAATACAAAACTCTCTCTCAGAAAAAAAAAAATAGAAAGTCCAAGGATTCTGTGAAAATATTTTCTGGCTAGGAAAAAAATTCTTGTTGTTTATCAGTACTCTTTAAATCATGAATCCATTGTGCTTAATATCTTCAAGTAGCATAATGACAATCACTTATTTGGGATGAAATTTTACATTACTTGAAGAAGGACTTCTTTTGCCCTAAGGTGCATGCACTTGCCAGAGAGAGACAGAGACAGAGAGAGGGAAAGCGAGAAATTACCCACAAGGGAGGATGGCTATGCTACAATCCCTTCTCCTCCTGGGATTTTGGGCATGCATGCACACAGGCCCAGTGTGATTTTTCAAGCCACCAGGTGGTCTGGGACCCAAACCATGACTGGGCATGTGAAAATACAGTGCCTTAACCACCGTGCCACCTGCTGGTCTCAAACAGTGACTTCTAGTGGTGAAGTATATCACTCAAAGAGTCCCAGTTGGCAGATATATAACTCAACTGAGGTAGTTATTGATTATAGTTATTTTATTTTATTTTTTTAGAGAGATCTTTGCTGTAGAGCATGTGTGTTCACTAGAGAGACAGAAAGAGACAGAGAGACAGAAAGCAAAAAATCACCCTCCAGGGAGGATGGCCACACTGCAATCGCTTCTCTTCCATTCTCCTCTCAGGATTTTGGGCATGCATGCACACGTGCCTGGTGTGAATTTCAAGCTGCTGGATCTGGGACTTGAACTGCAGTCGTCCATGTGGGAATCAGCAACGTAACCACTACACCATCTGCTGGTCATGCCTTTTCTTTTCAATTTAGAGTTTCCATTATGCTTTGAACACAGATTTCTTTACCAATCAATTTTTTTTTTTAAGAGGAATTCTTGCCATAGTTCTTGTGCACTCACTGGAGAGGCAGCAAGATAGAAGAGAAAAATCACCCCCTCCCCCCAGGAAGAATGGCTATGCTACAATTCCTTCTCCTCCATTCTCTTGGGATTTTGGACATGCATGCACATGTGCCTAGTGTGAGTTTTAAGCTGCAGATTCTGGGACTTGAACCATGGTCCACTATATAGGAGTCCAGCAATGTAACCATTACTCCATCTGCTGATCTCTACCAATCAATTTTTTAAAAAAACTCTTCTCTTCTTTTGCATGAAAAAAAAATTAGCATACTAAGAAGTACTGGATACATTCAGTATTCATCTCTTTAACTCTTTTTTTCTTGAGTTTATCTATTTATTTCTTCCATGAGCAGGAGAGGCAGAGACAGAGAGAGAGAGCAACCACAACAGTATCCTGATGCTTTGATCCACCCCTAGCCTCAGCTGTTTCTGAACTGTGGGCATATACTTGCCTGGTATACTCAGGGAAGTCTCTGGACACAAAGTCGGAACTCATGTGGGTCAGCGTCACAGAGCATTGCGTTTTACCACGGAGCCACCATTCAGCCCCCATTTGCTTACCTTGGTTATACATATGTTGAAATAAAAGCTGTAATCTAATGCTCCTGTTTTATGTCCTTTCTTAAGGATTTATAGCACGTTTTTCTGTTTCCCACCTTCAAACCTCCAAGCATTTCCATTCTTTCTGCTTCATCCATACCTCCAAACACAGATCCCTTCAAGGAACGTCCTGAGAAGAACAAGTGGCCATCGACACTGAGTTGAGCACCAGCAGCCAGCAGCCCAACAATCACGCAGACCCCATGGCTCTCATGGCAGGAGGCCAGGGCAGCTGCCTGTTGTAAACCAATGGAATACAGAGGAGGGATTAAAAGATGTACTTGAGAGTTGGACCTTAGTGTTAATACCAACGTCACTGCTAAACGCTCTGTACTTGCTTTTTCTGATCCTCCCTATCCTAATTTGAAATAATATTGATCTTATAAAGGTGCCTTGGAGCATAGATAAGCCATTGTGTGCTGCTACTCTAGTGCTTGATGCTTTAGGACTCAATAAGTGGAAGCAACAAAAATGAAAATAGTAAAGGCATTCATGGAAGTCATGATGGTAGGGATAATAACAATAATTTCATAGACCCACTACTGACACAGGTGGTTGGTTAGAGTTGATATTTTCTTTTAGATCTCTAAGGAGACCACTTGATATTTTTGTAACATGACATGCTAGCAAAGTGATAGATATCATCTCATTAATTATTTTTGAAGGCTATTTCTTAGAGCAAGACTGTGAGAGAGGTTTTGTGATATCTTTTTACAGATGAGGGCATTATGTACAGTGAGTAATGAAAACATTTTATATGTGGGGGAAAGGGCCTAGGTTGGAAGAAATCGTTCTTGGGTTTCCATACAGCTGATAGAAGATAGTGGCATGCAACCCAAGACTATGTTATTTCTTCAAATCCCCAAAGAAAGCAAGCTTCAGGTTCTGCAATAACTTCCTCTCCATTTCTGTTGTCTTATGTAAGCCATGTTCAGCTAGGAAATCAACCACTTTCTTTATTCCTTTTTGGAATGAATCTATTTAATCAAGATTAGTAAATATTTTCTTTGAATACCTATCTCAGATCTAAGATGAAAAACTACTGAAAATGAAAAACCCATTGTTTCATTGAGTGATTAATTCAGTTTAACCTTACCTTCCTTAAAACTTCTGGCTTGGAAATTATAGTTACAGGCTACTTTTGTTATGAAATAATTTAGCAAGAATATTTTGCATAGTCTTACTGTCTTGAAGGAATGGCATGATAGAACTTATCTGAATGAAGTTGTTTGAAGGAACCTGCTTGAAGGAACTGTATGATGGAATGGAGAGGGAGAGCAGAATTCAGCATGAGAGTTCTCAATTCAGCATCTGGGATAGTGAAAAAACACTGTAGAAGCAGACAGAAGGATGAGATGCCATAGGCACAAGGAAAATTAAAGAGAGGAAGGTGGAGGGAATCTAAGAATGTTCATTCATTTAGAATCTAAAATGATGACTGGCAGAAATATTGGTAATTTCAATCCAGAGGAGCACATACCACAGTGTCTGGATTGCCAATGGCCTCAAAGCAAAATTCCACCCCAGAACCTGTCAGATCAAATAAAACTTCTTGAATGGGTTTCTTGAAGTCCTGTGGGTTGATGCACTCCGTGGCACCCATTTCCTTTGCCTTCTTAAATTTTTCCTTATTGATGTCCACACCAATGATCCTGGCTGCCCCTGCTGCTTTGCAGCCCGTGATGACAGACAGGCCAACTCCTCCCAGGCCAAACACGGCACAGACAGAGCCTGGAGTCACCTTAGCACAGAAAGCAAAAACAGAGGGATATGTGCTTTTACTGCCTTGGGAAGGCCAAGCCTGTGTATACTTTTTTATGAGACATAAAGGACATCTTCAAGGGACCATCAGTTAGCATAATGGCTATGTCGCTGTACTCCTATGTAACTGACTGCGGTTCGAGTCCAGGACCCAGTGGCTTGAACTCACGCTGGGCACATATGCATGCATGCCCAAGATCCCGAGAGGAGAATGGAGGAGGAGGGATTGTGGCATGGTCATCCCCCCTGGGGGGTGATTTCTCGCTTTCTATCTCTCTGTCTCTCTCTGTCTTTCCGGTAAGCACACGCACCCTGTAGCAAAACCTCTCCAAAAAAAAGGACTTTTTAGTTTCTCAAGATATTCCTAGATATGGAATACTCTTTTTTACTCTTTTTTTTTATGTGGGGGGAGAGATTTTTCTATAGGGTGCATGTGTTCACCAGAGACAGAAAGTGAGATGGTCATGCCACAATCTCCTCTCCATTCTCCTCTTGGGATTTTGGGCATGTACACACGTGCACCAGCATGAATTTTTAGCTGCTGGGTCCAGGACTCGAAACACAGTTGGGAGTCTGCACGCAAAACAAGATAGGTCCTATCAAGGTTGTTTCAAAGCAGTGCGCTTAAAATCACAGAGTAAGGGAATTTGTTGTGCCATGTGCTTGGGAAGGAGTACATTTCAAATGGTGAATCCTCTCAAAGTGTGGAGCACTTGTAGGAATTTTGAATAAGCATAGTGAAATAAAATCCTTTCAGATGGCAAAGCACGCAAGGTGCGTTGACAAGTATGACCCATACTGTAATGCCATTGTTTTAAATTGTCAGACAGTACGTGTGCTTGCCAGAGAGGCAGAGAGAGCAAGCGTATCCCAAGGGGGCATGGTAAACCCTGTAATCTCTTCTCTTCCAGTCTCCTCTCGGGATTTTGGACATGTGTGCACATGCACCTGGCATAATTTTCAAGTGGTTGGGTTCAGGGCTTGAACCACGGTTGGCCATGTGGGAGACCAGTGCCTTAACCACCGTGCCACCTGCTGGTCTCAAACAGTGACTTCTAGTGGTGAAGTATATCACTCAAAGAGTCCCAGTTGGCAGATATATAACTCAACTGAGGTAGTTATTGATTATAGTTATTTTATTTTATTTTTTTAGAGAGATCTTTGCTGTAGAGCATGTGTGTTCACTAGAGAGACAGAAAGAGACAGAGAGACAGAAAGCAAAAAATCACCCTCCAGGGAGGATGGCCACACTGCAATCGCTTCTCTTCCATTCTCCTCTCAGGATTTTGGGCATGCATGCACACGTGCCTGGTGTGAATTTCAAGCTGCTGGATCTGGGACTTGAACTGCAGTCGTCCATGTGGGAATCAGCAACGTAACCACTACACCATCTGCTGGTCATGCCTTTTCTTTTCAATTTAGAGTTTCCATTATGCTTTGAACACAGATTTCTTTACCAATCAATTTTTTTTTTTAAGAGGAATTCTTGCCATAGTTCTTGTGCACTCACTGGAGAGGCAGCAAGATAGAAGAGAAAAATCACCCCCTCCCCCCAGGAAGAATGGCTATGCTACAATTCCTTCTCCTCCATTCTCTTGGGATTTTGGACATGCATGCACATGTGCCTAGTGTGAGTTTTAAGCTGCAGATTCTGGGACTTGAACCATGGTCCACTATATAGGAGTCCAGCAATGTAACCATTACTCCATCTGCTGATCTCTACCAATCAATTTTTTAAAAAAACTCTTCTCTTCTTTTGCATGAAAAAAAAATTAGCATACTAAGAAGTACTGGATACATTCAGTATTCATCTCTTTAACTCTTTTTTTCTTGAGTTTATCTATTTATTTCTTCCATGAGCAGGAGAGGCAGAGACAGAGAGAGAGAGCAACCACAACAGTATCCTGATGCTTTGATCCACCCCTAGCCTCAGCTGTTTCTGAACTGTGGGCATATACTTGCCTGGTATACTCAGGGAAGTCTCTGGACACAAAGTCGGAACTCATGTGGGTCAGCGTCACAGAGCATTGCGTTTTACCACGGAGCCACCATTCAGCCCCCATTTGCTTACCTTGGTTATACATATGTTGAAATAAAAGCTGTAATCTAATGCTCCTGTTTTATGTCCTTTCTTAAGGATTTATAGCACGTTTTTCTGTTTCCCACCTTCAAACCTCCAAGCATTTCCATTCTTTCTGCTTCATCCATACCTCCAAACACAGATCCCTTCAAGGAACGTCCTGAGAAGAACAAGTGGCCATCGACACTGAGTTGAGCACCAGCAGCCAGCAGCCCAACAATCACGCAGACCCCATGGCTCTCATGGCAGGAGGCCAGGGCAGCTGCCTGTTGTAAACCAATGGAATACAGAGGAGGGATTAAAAGATGTACTTGAGAGTTGGACCTTAGTGTTAATACCAACGTCACTGCTAAACGCTCTGTACTTGCTTTTTCTGATCCTCCCTATCCTAATTTGAAATAATATTGATCTTATAAAGGTGCCTTGGAGCATAGATAAGCCATTGTGTGCTGCTACTCTAGTGCTTGATGCTTTAGGACTCAATAAGTGGAAGCAACAAAAATGAAAATAGTAAAGGCATTCATGGAAGTCATGATGGTAGGGATAATAACAATAATTTCATAGACCCACTACTGACACAGGTGGTTGGTTAGAGTTGATATTTTCTTTTAGATCTCTAAGGAGACCACTTGATATTTTTGTAACATGACATGCTAGCAAAGTGATAGATATCATCTCATTAATTATTTTTGAAGGCTATTTCTTAGAGCAAGACTGTGAGAGAGGTTTTGTGATATCTTTTTACAGATGAGGGCATTATGTACAGTGAGTAATGAAAACATTTTATATGTGGGGGAAAGGGCCTAGGTTGGAAGAAATCGTTCTTGGGTTTCCATACAGCTGATAGAAGATAGTGGCATGCAACCCAAGACTATGTTATTTCTTCAAATCCCCAAAGAAAGCAAGCTTCAGGTTCTGCAATAACTTCCTCTCCATTTCTGTTGTCTTATGTAAGCCATGTTCAGCTAGGAAATCAACCACTTTCTTTATTCCTTTTTGGAATGAATCTATTTAATCAAGATTAGTAAATATTTTCTTTGAATACCTATCTCAGATCTAAGATGAAAAACTACTGAAAATGAAAAACCCATTGTTTCATTGAGTGATTAATTCAGTTTAACCTTACCTTCCTTAAAACTTCTGGCTTGGAAATTATAGTTACAGGCTACTTTTGTTATGAAATAATTTAGCAAGAATATTTTGCATAGTCTTACTGTCTTGAAGGAATGGCATGATAGAACTTATCTGAATGAAGTTGTTTGAAGGAACCTGCTTGAAGGAACTGTATGATGGAATGGAGAGGGAGAGCAGAATTCAGCATGAGAGTTCTCAATTCAGCATCTGGGATAGTGAAAAAACACTGTAGAAGCAGACAGAAGGATGAGATGCCATAGGCACAAGGAAAATTAAAGAGAGGAAGGTGGAGGGAATCTAAGAATGTTCATTCATTTAGAATCTAAAATGATGACTGGCAGAAATATTGGTAATTTCAATCCAGAGGAGCACATACCACAGTGTCTGGATTGCCAATGGCCTCAAAGCAAAATTCCACCCCAGAACCTGTCAGATCAAATAAAACTTCTTGAATGGGTTTCTTGAAGTCCTGTGGGTTGATGCACTCCGTGGCACCCATTTCCTTTGCCTTCTTAAATTTTTCCTTATTGATGTCCACACCAATGATCCTGGCTGCCCCTGCTGCTTTGCAGCCCGTGATGACAGACAGGCCAACTCCTCCCAGGCCAAACACGGCACAGACAGAGCCTGGAGTCACCTTAGCACAGAAAGCAAAAACAGAGGGATATGTGCTTTTACTGCCTTGGGAAGGCCAAGCCTGTGTATACTTTTTTATGAGACATAAAGGACATCTTCAAGGGACCATCAGTTAGCATAATGGCTATGTCGCTGTACTCCTATGTAACTGACTGCGGTTCGAGTCCAGGACCCAGTGGCTTGAACTCACGCTGGGCACATATGCATGCATGCCCAAGATCCCGAGAGGAGAATGGAGGAGGAGGGATTGTGGCATGGTCATCCCCCCTGGGGGGTGATTTCTCGCTTTCTATCTCTCTGTCTCTCTCTGTCTTTCCGGTAAGCACACGCACCCTGTAGCAAAACCTCTCCAAAAAAAAGGACTTTTTAGTTTCTCAAGATATTCCTAGATATGGAATACTCTTTTTTACTCTTTTTTTTTATGTGGGGGGAGAGATTTTTCTATAGGGTGCATGTGTTCACCAGAGACAGAAAGTGAGATGGTCATGCCACAATCTCCTCTCCATTCTCCTCTTGGGATTTTGGGCATGTACACACGTGCACCAGCATGAATTTTTAGCTGCTGGGTCCAGGACTCGAAACACAGTTGACTTCATGGGAGTCTAGCAATGTAGCCATTATGCCATCAGTTGGTCCCAGATATGAATACTCTAGCCACAGAACAAAAACCTACCTGCAAGTCGAGAGTTTTAAGTCCCAGAAATCAGCATGAGTAGAATAATTTAATAAGTTTCATTGACTCTTAAGACTTACTTGACAGAGCACTTATTTAATTCTGGTATTTTAGAGTTCTTTAGGACTGTCTCCCTCTTCCTGCAGCCCTTCCGTTCCCTTTCATTTGGATATCTGTAAACTTTGCTTAGTTAGGCAGTCAGTGTTTTATAAAGGCAAAGGCTTTTTATTGAGTACCATCCATCCTGGGACTAATTTACATTGAACCCCTTCCATCTTCTTTTGTAGTATTGGAACTAACGGACAATGGAAAAAGCTGAGGCCTAAAATCCAACAATCCCTTAAAGAAGGGGGCTGAACAAGTTTGAGTGATGTTCCAGAAACAGGAGTTTAACTGTAGCTCGCTCACTCAGAGTGCAATTTTCTGATCAATCTGTCTAATACAGCAACACCCTCTCCAAGACATGGGCCCTTTCCCTTCCCTCTCATTTGATTAGCTCTTATCACTATCTATGTTTTCTACAGTAGAATGTAAATGTGATCAGTTTTGTTAGCTGCTGAATCCCAGCACCTGGAACAGTGAATGGCTGCATAAATGTTTATTGAATCACAGTGTGAATGAACTGGAATGTGGAAGGGGCACAGAGCCGTGTTATAACATTGTTAGGTTTAACTTCCAGAGAGTCCCGATGTCTGTACTTGTGAATGGCATCCAGGTTTAATTTGTCCTTTATACAGACCAAGAGGGAACAGGAAAGGTGTTAAAGGGGGTATGTGATGACTAGGCAGATAGGGGAGAATTCAAGGATGTTTAGAGGCAGGTTTGTTATTTTTCCTCAGGTGGTATCTTCAGCCATGACTTAGATGCATGAGGTCTTTCAACTCCATATACCAATAATTCCATTCAAAATGGGTAAAAATGCCCCTCACCTTGGCAGTATTGATTGCAGCACCATACCCAGTGGAAAAACCACAGCTAAACAGGCATACTTTTTCCAGAGGAGCAGTTGCATCAATCTTGGTGACTGATATTTCCTTTATCACTGTGTACTCAGAGAATGTGCTTGTATTAGCGAAATGATATATGGATTTTCCCTTGCAGGTGAATCTACTGGTACCATCAGGCATCAGATTGGTTTGTGCCTGTCTTTTATAATCAAAAACAAAAAAGTTATTTTGAATTAGAAAGCTTAGATCACTAATGAAATTGAACTATTTTTTCATAAAGAAAATATTAATAAAGACTTACTTGAATTGTATACAAAAATTGTCCTCAAAATTCAGGCAAGAGGCACATTCTCCACATTGTGATAG